TAGTACACTCAGAGCAATTTAATTAATCTAATTAATTAAATATTACTAGATTTCAAAACTTCTTCGATTACTCTCAAATTAATCTATGTTGAAGAGCATGGTAGGGCCTAATGTAATATGCTATCACATGTTGATTTAAAGCTAGATAAGGCCACATGATTTAATATTTTATTCAAGATAAATATTAAATAAAATCTTCATTACTTGTCCAAATAATCTAGATTTAATATATGTCAATCTACATATCAAGGGGTAATATTCTATCATGCCACATGATTAAACAAAGCTATGGACAACCGAAAAAATTAAATCCTTCACAAGAAAAATAAATAATAAAATCTCTACATTTTATATCCAAGCATGTAATCAAGTTGTATAAGCATCACAAGCACATAATATAGCAAGAATTTAAATTATAACACCCCCTACCTCAATTTGAGATGAAAACCCCAAATCTGCACTGAAAAAAAAAGTGTTCCGAATCCGCTGAAATCGAAGGGTTTCGACGGGGACAACACGATCTACATGAATCCGAAGGAAGCCCCATGAAAATCACAACTTGACTCTTAACCCAAACTCAAGAAATGGTCAGAAATGAATTCTAATAAGGGGCAATGGTGGAGCACGTCGAGGGGAGCAATAAACGTAAAGGCCGAAGAGATTTCACTTAGGAAATCAAGTGGAGGAGAAGGTCAAAGGGTGGTAGCCAAGGAGCTTCCATGGCTGTCGGCCAAGAAGTGGAGAAGAAGAGTGAAAATCTAATTTTTCACTTTAGGGCATCCTATTTATAATAAGTCTCAAAAATTACCCCGAAAGGGCCCCGCCGGGTCCGGAAAAGTGAATTTTGAGCAAACGCACTCAGACGGAAAAACTCCATGAACGAAAAACATTCAAAATGAGAAAATATGAACAATGGAAGAAATAGCATTGAAAATTGATTCTCGAGCAAAAAGTTATGCCCCGAACAAGTTCACCGGCAATCGGGTCCAGAAACTCTAGAACTAGAGAAAAATGACCAGAAGGAAATTCTATGAATTTATATGTCAACAAAAACTAAAAATGAATCCCATACAAGGATCCAAGCTCCAGAAGAGACATTTTGCAATAACTTTCGTTAATTACATAATGGCCCCTACAAAAAGGGTTAACTGCGAAACTGCCCTAGAATGAAAATATCTTCCAAAATATATTTTCTTAGATGCCCCTGAAATAAAATATCTTCAAAAGATATTTACAAAAACACCCAGAGAAAAGAAAATAATTCTGAAGAATTGTGCATCCATGCCCCTATGGACACTGAGAGCAACCAGAGTACTTTCTTGCAAAAGTAAAGATACGTATTTTGAGGAAACCACTCAAGATGAAGGCACGTGAAGTCAAAAACTAAATCCGAGAATGAGAAGTGAGGTTGTGCCAACAATGTGACAAACAGGGAAAAGACAGAATTGGGAAAAAGACGAAACAGGGAAAAGGACGAAAGACGCATAGTGTCCGAAAAGTGAAAATGCGAAAATGACTCCGTCCTTAGAGGAAGTTGTCAATTCACATGAAAGAGTCTCAGAAACCAATTTCGAGCACTCGAGATGACACTAAGCGATACAAAACAGAGCTTAGAAAAAAAAATTAAATGAAAAAAATTCATTCGTAAAATTTCAGGAAAAAGGAAAGGGAGGTAAATGACCAGGTCATTACAATTAAGGAGACTTTCCTAGTATGGTTGAGCTACTTAGGCCCCCAAGTGAGGCTAAGGAGTTGCCTTGGGTCAAGGATAGATAATCAATCTTTCTCTCATGGCGCCATGGAGTTACCATGGGCCGGGTTGTATTAACGGTTTGGAAAGTTATTGTGATTGGGAAAAGGTTTCAGAAAATGGGGAGCGACATTAGCATCGCATTGGCATTGCATTATCATTGCATAATTCAATAGATATTATTGGATTTGTATGATGATATTACCTTCCCCAATGAGCATGATCCCCTCCTCTATTTTCTATGTTTTGTATGGATTCACGAGATCATTAAGGAGTGCGTTTTAGGCACCTCCTACTGAGCCGTTGTGCTCACCCCAATTATAACCATTTTTCAAGGTATCGGAAAGAAGTGGTGGACGACGTCCCTCCACAACCGTAGATGGAATTAGATAGGACTACTTTGTCATTTTATATAAAGGTTTGTGTTTTGTAAAACTTGAACTTGAACTATATCATTTTGTAATCTATTACACCTTGGGCCATTCTTGTGTATATGGACTTAAAGCTACGCATTTTGAATTCACCATGTTGCCATTTTTAGTTGAATTGAATAGATATGAACTATTTTAATGCATTTATTGATGTTTATGACTATAGGATGGTCAAAGTGTATTTATCGTGAGTTGGGATAGGTTTACCATAGGTTTAGGCTCACAAATGAGCCTGGATGCATTCCAGGCCTAAAAACCCAAAACTTGCAGATTTTACTCTCGGTCTGATTGATCAGACTTCAGTCAGATCAATTGGATTCCCATACTTTGTTACTTTCAAAATTTTCCTATAAAACTTGCTCTCTGTCTGATCGATCGGACTTCAATCCGATCAATTGGATTTCCAGACTTAGAATTTATTTTTGATGTTGTTGAATCACTCAAACTGGATAGACTTCAAACGATCATAACTTTGTCATTTCTAACCCAAATGGTGCCATCCTTAAGCCTAGAACGATGCATTTTGAAACACTTTTCCAATGGTATCTGTCTTACCCTATATTTTACATAAAATGACCATTTTTCTCTTAGTTGATCTTGGGTTCGAGTGAGGACCCGGATAACGATTCAAACCCCAAGTTCTGGTTATTACAAGTTCGGCTCTAATTTGACCTAGAGGGAGAGCGTGCCAATTTAGGATGAGAAAAGTTGATTACTAGGACCTAAATGGTGGCCAAATTTAGAATCGGGCATAGTTAATCAATCTCGCCTCAGTAAAGTTGATTAGTGATTTTTGGCATGAGTTAGGGTTGGTAGAGACTAAGTTCGAGGATGGTTATGTATTTGTTGAGGGAAAAAAATCCCCCTTCTAGTAAGAATCGTCCACATCATCACACTAAAAAATTACTCTAGGTACAACAAGGGCCCAATCGGTGCCGAGCCCAAATTAGATCAACCCAGTCCAGAACGAGACTAGATAAAGCCTTGGCTCCCACATAGTTCATAGACCCAGGCCATCCGGCCCAACTTCTAAGCCCAGATGTCAGCAGCCCGTAACACCAAGGGTGAACTCCAAGCCCATTAGTTGAATCGTTTGGGTCAGCCCACATTCGGCCAAATCTTGGTTAAGGGAAGTCCAGTCCAGCTAGGCCAAGGAATCATAAAAAGAGCAAGTTTTGTACAAGGAAAACCCTGCATGGAAAGATTTGTAAAATGGAAAGGATTATAATTGTAAAGAAAATCATTTATAGAATGAATTGGAGGATATGCCATGCAACTCCTACCAAAATTTCACCACCTTATTTCTTAAAAATAGAGGCTTAGACCTCCAATAAAATCATCGAGCATTATATACTTATTTTGAGTTTTATTCTTACTTGTTCTGAGTGAGTTGTATTTTTCTTTTTATTTGTTTCAATAGAGAGAAATTTTGCACTTACACTTTGGCGCCGTCTGTGGGAAGCATATAGAAAGATACTCCCACTTTTTTGTTTCAAATTGTTTTTGTTTCCACGATTTGGAATGTCGAACAGAGAATCAACGGCGGTAGATCAACAGATAGAGTTGATACAAAAGATGCGAGAAGAGTTCTTGCACCAATTTGAAGCGCTTCGTCAGGCGAATGAAGCCAGCATAGCTCAGATTGCATTACTTCAATAGCAAAACGACACCCTTCAAATGGCTATGGCTCAGTTGACACCTCAGCCATCACCAGTTGATAGGGCTGCACCTCCTCTTAACCAAAATGAGCCTCAGGTCAATGGGGTTCGGCCTAATGAAGTTCGGCCACCACCAGTTAACGAAGCTGTGCCTCCTCTAAATTAAAACGAGCATCAGGTTAATCGGGTTCGGATTAGTGAAGTTTAGCCCACCGAAGTTCAGCAATACCAAAGGGCAAGGTCCGAGGTGGTAGCTTCGGACAATCTTCCTTATTGTACGCAGGATGAACAGGCCGAATCGAGCCATAAACTTATGGTATGGTCTAATGGTGTTCCAAATGGTGCAGGAGTAAAGGAGGCTTTTGACGAGAAGAGACTTCTAAGAGTTCAAACGCCTGTAAAGATGGCCAGGGAACATAAGAACTCTCTCGTGAAGGCTCCATTCACTGACGATGTGTACCTTATTGACAGACCTAAGAAATTCACTATGCCTTCGTTTACCCAGTTTGATGGTACGGGAGATCCTTCTCGGCACTTAGATCACTACGCGCAAAAGATGGCTCTGGATGATCACAATGACCCATAGATGTGCACATTTTTCCATACCAGTCTAATGGGGGCTGCACTGGAGTGGTTCAGGAATAAGCCACACAAATCTATTCTAGACTACGAAACTCTATGCACTATGTTCCTGGTGCAGTATTGTGATAATAAGAAACAAAGGAAGAGTATTGCTAGCCTTTTCACTATAAGGAAAAAGAAGGGCGAAACATTACAAGACTTCTTGCCCAGATTTAATATGGAGGCTTTGGAAATAACAGATTGCCATCCTGCTATCGCAATAGAAACATTCAAACTTGCAATGATCTAGGGAACCAAGTTCCATACATCCTTAGTTAAGTATTCCCCCCGGACATGCAGACTCTCAATGCTAGAGCACAGATCTACATCCGACTCGAGGAAAATGTGGCCCACTGAGCTTAACATGCCACCCTCGTCATGGTGGAGAATAAGCCTCAGGAAAGGGTTTCAAACTCAAAAAGCTAAAAAAGCCAACATGCTTCAGCACTAACCATTCATATACCCGAAAAAAGGCAAAGGATAGAGGAAAGGATCACGCCTCTTCGCACAAACTTGGCTCGGTTATTTCAGGAGAATAAGATGAAGTTTACAGCCCCTCCGCCAATAAGGCAACCATTGGAACAGAGAGACAAGACCAAGCACTGCGCCTACCACAGAGATTATGGGCATACAACTAATGATTGTAGATCCCTTAGGCGGCAGATGGAAAACATGATACTGAGAGGTGAATTGGTAGATTACCTCACAACAAAGGAGTACATGAAGCCTTGGGAGGTTAACCCTTGGAAAGTCAAAGGTAATCAAATGAAGGTCATTCATGCAATATATGAAAGATCGGAGGATGATCAGGAGTCAGAGGAGGTTTATAGGTCCCGACTAAGAACAACCCATAAACTGATGAGGCTATCCTTGGTAAACACTATTGCTTCGGAAAGCATCAACATTGGGTTCGGCGATGAAGATCTATCTAGAGTTCAACTCCCCTACGAGGATCAGTTGGTCATCAGTCTCTTGGTGGCGAATTGCATAATTAAGAGGGTTTTGATAGACCCAGGGAGCAGTGCCAACATCATCACAAAGGCGGTCTTTGAGCAACTAGAGATTCCGTCATCATCAATTCGGCCCACCTCCAGCCCATTGATGGGGTTCGATGGCACAAAGGTGGACCCCCTTGGGGTAATTGACTTATCTGTAACTGCGGCAAAGAGGACACTGAAGGAAAACTTTGTCTTAACAGAGATCCACCCTTCCTATAATATTATTATGGGGAGAGGTTGGATCCACCGAATGAACGGGGTTCCGTCTACCCTTCACCAGGTGATGCGATGCTTGTCTCCGGATGGGAGAGAGGTTATTGACCTCAGGGGAGATTAAGTAGCTGCCAAAGAATGCTACATGTTAACATAGAATGAGTCAAAGAAAGTAACAAAATAGTCCCAACCGATCACACCTCCAGGAAGCAAGTCCAAATAGCAATTACAGAATCCTCTGCCTAGGTATTTGAGAGCAGAGGATGAGGCCAAAGCTGAAAAGCCTACTGAGGAGTCTCTGGAAGCTGTCGAAGTAATCCTCGGCGATCCTCAGAAAATCACCTACATGGGTTCTTCCCCCACAGCCGAAGAAAAAGAAGCATTAATTGATGTCATTCGATGAAACGCAGATGCATTTGCTTGGGAGTATTCAGACATGGTGGGAATCAATCCTTCAGTCTCATGCCATAGCCTGAAGGTGGATCCGGCATACAAACCAATCAAGCAAAAGCATAGAAGGTTCGCTCCAAAGCGCAACCAAATTATAGCTAAAGAAGTAAGCAAGTTACTTAAAGCAGGCTTCATCTGAGAGGTGTACTACCCATAATGGCCCTCCAACATGGTGGTAGTTTAGAAAAAGAACGGAAAATGGAGGGTTTCCATAGATTTTACCAATCTCAACAAAGCCACCCTAAAGACAGCTTCCCGTTACCCAAGATTGATTAGATGGTTGATGTCACTACTGGTTTTGAGAGGCTCACATTTCTTGATGTGTACTTTAGCTATAACTATATTCCTATGAATCTGGAGGATGAAGAGAAGACTATTTTCATAACAGAGAAGGGCACCTATTGTTATAGAGTTATACCCTTCGGGCTCAAGAATGCTGGAGCAACTTACCAGCACCTTGTTAACAAGATCTTCGATGAGATGTTGGGAAAGACGGTCGAGGCCTATATCGATGATATGGTGGTTAAAAGTGTGAAGAAGGAAGAACATCCTAGGCACCTCCAAGAGGTCTTTGACATTTTAAGAAAATATTGCATGAAGCTAAATCCTTCGAAGTGCTCCTTTACAGTCTCTTCAGGACAGTTCCTCGGCCATATTGTAAACAAAAGTGGAATTGAGGTGAGTCCAGCTCAGGCTCAAGCCCTTATACAAAATCAAGAACCAAAGACCTGCAGGGAAGTACAAGTTTTGACCGGTCAAATCTCAGTTCTCAGTCGATTTCTCTCGATTGTCTGATAAGTGCAAACTATTCTTTGATGTAATAAGGTCCAAAAATAAAGACATATGGGGACCTCAATAGCAAGCTGCTCTTAATCAACTGAAATGCTACATGTCGAAACCCCTAATTTTGTTAGCTCCAAAGCCTGGTGAGACTCTTATCATATACTTAGCCATCTCCAGCATAGACAGAAGTGCAGTATCGATCAGAGAAGAAACTAAGAGTCAATATCCAATCTTTTACACTAGCAAAACAAAGACAGATGCAGAAACGAGGTACAACAAAGCCGAAAACATCATACTAGCACTAGTATATGCAAAAAAGGAAACTTCGACACTACTTTGAGTCATACAGCATCAAAGTTCTTACCAACTACCCCATGCGAGTCATTCTGTCTAAACTGGATTTATCCGGAAGAATAACTGAATGGGCAATCAACCTTAGTTCCTTTGACATATCCTATAAACCGAAGATGTCGCACAAAGAGCAAGCACTAGCTGATTTCCTTTTGGAGTATGAAGATAAGCCCGAGGAGCCAGGCCCTTCCGAGCCATAATGGGAGCTTTGGGTGGATGGTTCCTCGAGCTTGATTAGTGCTGGGGCAGGAGTCATTATCACAACTCCCAAAGGCACCAAGCCTGTAATGACCCGGTCTTTTTCCTCATTTTCCTTTTTTGACAATTTTCTTTTTCATTTTTTTCCTATTTTGTCTTTTCCCTATTTCGTCTTTTTCTCATTTATCATTTTTCCTTACATAACCTCACTTGTTGTGCTTAGATTTGATTTCGGTTTTGCATGCATCCATGATAATTGATTTCCATGATAGTGGTATTTTTACTTTTGTAGAAAAGTATGTTAGTTGCTTACTTTTTTCATAAAGGGCATGGATGCATACTTTCTTGTAATTATTCCTTATTTTTTGGGGTTTTTGTGTAGTTGAATAAAGTACTTATTTTTCGTCTTGGGGACTTTTTTGTAATTTAATTTGTAAGATATTTTGAAAAAGAACCTTTTTGCAATATTTGGAAAATGTGACAAGTGTCACATTCTCATGGTACCACTTGTTGGCAATGGGGTAGAGTGACTTGGATGTATAATCTCTTGACATTTGGAGGGTGGAGATTCACCCACTTGTTAGCCTAGGATTGGAGCACTTGTTGGCTTAGATGGTTGACAAGTGTAGGCTTAGGATTAAGCCTAGGAAGGAGCCTTGGATTTGTGACAAGTGTAGGATCACAATTAAGTCTTGCATTGTGTGTGTGTGTGAGGTAGTGTAAGAACACATAGTGAGTGGAGAAATACTAGACCCTTCACTCACCATTTTCAATTTATTCCTTTCATTTTCACTTATTTTTTAAGAACCCTAACCAAGCCACCATTGGAGAAAAGCTTGGTTAATAACTTTGACTTCATTTTTGGCCTCCTTCCATTCATCCTAGACTTAGAACCTTGGAACACAAAAGTTTCCCCTTACTTTCCTCTTCATTAACCCTAAACTTGTTTTCCATTTTGAGCTTGGTTGATTGGATTATAAAGATTCAATTCTCTATTGAGGTAAGGGTGGTAGTATGTTTATATTTTAAGTGTTTTATAATCCTTGGGGTTTAATATATATTGTGTACATGCTTTTAATATGATAGAGTTGCATATTATAGGAAACCGTCACTTCTTGACTTTGGGTTTATTGATTTAAGCATGTATGATATGTATAAACCATGTGTAGAAGGATTGTATAATTTAATAGTATGCTAAATTCTAGTATTTTCACATGTGTAGTGATATAGAACTCTAGTAGAATTATTAATGTTATATACAATTCCTATTGACTTGAATTGCTATATTTATGGTGGTGATAATTCTATGATCTTGTTAATGACAATTGTAATTATTTTAGAAGCTTAATACTATAATGTTGAAATCTAGTATATATAGCTTATTCTTGAGGCATGTTTTAAATTGATAGGTTGGTGGTATTATATTGTACAAAATATCATGATGAGAATTTGTCATTCGGTATGCCATTTTAGACTTAGAACCTTAAGACTTGGCTTGTGTGGTTTCAAAATACGTGTGCATGGAAGGTGGTTTATATGCCTTAATTATAGTGTTTGAGTTTTGAACTTGATTGTGATTTTAGATTATCTTGGGACATTGTTACAAGTGATATGGCTAGAGTTTGGCTCTAGTGCGAGAGGTATGAGTTCTCCCAAATTGAGATAGTGTGTACTAGGGTGGTCTTCCCAGCGGGTTAATGCCCGGAATAACCATTTTGATCTTGGTTTAGTCCGAGACGTGATGTCTAAGTATTTCATTAATTGATTTCGCATTAAATTCCAAGTTGACAACCAATGCTTAATTGTAACTTGTGATTTTTGTTATTGGCGAATTGATGTTGTTAAGTACATTGATATTGATATGTATTGCTAAGGAATATATAAGTTAGCTTAAGATGATCTCTTAGAACACCTTGAACATAAACGTTAAGTGGAATGCTCCCTTGTATTCGTTTATATTAATCTTGCAATGATATTGAAACTTTAGGGTACACGCATATGCTTCTTCCAATGAGTAACTTGATTACTCACCCTAGTGGTTTGGGTTGTTTTTCAGGTAAGGAGACTATGTTCTTGGATGCTCATCATCCTTAGAGGCTAATGAGCAATTTGGAACATTTTTGTATTTTAACATGCAAGTGTTTAACATGCTTTTCTTTTGAAGCTATATTTTGTATATGTGATATCCCTCGATTCTAGAGCCATGGGTGATCAAGTCCGAGCACAGATCCGAGGGATACCAAACAATTAATATTTAACCGAACACAAAATACAAAATGAATTTAATAAATAAAAGTTTAAAAGCTGAAAAGAATATTAAACATAATCCTTGAAAATTAAAATACTTGAAATCCAATTATCCAAAACCTTGTTAGAAAGAATCCTTCAATAATTTTACAACTCGGGAATCCATCTCTAGTGGACCCCTAATAACAATCCCAAACTGAAGGTAATTAAACAACTGAAGATAAAATCCAAATCTAACATAAAGAAATAAAGTCCTACATCATCGGTAGAATAGAAGATCGTCTCTACTCAGCCCGAACAATCCCTAGATTGGAAACGCCCGTCACCTGAAAAATGATAAGTGGGTCAGGCCCACTAGCAAGTTCTATACTACCACTACCTAAGCAGAGACCCGATACGCATGTACATCCTAACCAATCCAACAATAACTAATAGTCCGTAGTTATATATATATATATATATATATATATATAATCACACTACAGGATTCTCAATGGACTACAGGTCCGTCTCAACCTGACAAGTAGGCACTATGCAAAACGCACCTGAGGTGGGCATGACTACCTAGACCTAGCAGGGTACACATCTAACCATCATAGCCAGCTATGCATCCCAATGCATATACGCACCCTAGCCAATGACTCTGAGACTCAGGCTCATATCGTGGCACTATAAAAATATATTTAAATTCCATTTCAAACCAAAGTGTCATTCAACTATTTAGTGATCTGACACAAAACATAGGTAGGACTTAACTTTTCTAGTTAATCCATCCTTTAATCCAGAGTAGGTAGGACTTAGCGTTCTTTTTGAGCTAATCCCCCTAGTATGTCACCGTCCCATACCGGTGCATACAAACCATCCATTCAATATTGATAATATATATATAACAGTATAACATATCAATATCAACATATCCAATTATAAGCATAAGAAGAATGTTTAACTAACATACTTGTTCAATACAGAGAATAAATATAACCATCCTGTAACTCACAACAAGCAAATAATAATAACAGAATTAACATGCTTATTGATACTTACTCCACAACATCCAATAAGTTGATATAAAGAACTCTTTGTAAACATCAACTA